GCTGATTGCTGTTTTAACAGCCATATGTCCTGTGACCTGCATGGCTCTTGAGGCTGCTGGGGCGAGGGACCATGAGAGGATGAGAAAATATCAAGAAGAGACAAAAACTGGGGTCAGGTGGAGCCCTCACTCCCCGGATGGGAGGAAAGGAATTGCCTTCTCAATGTAGGGACACTTATTTATCCATTTAGCTGCACAATGTCATGCAAAGGTATTCCTTTGCCTAGTGACCCATTGCTTGGATTATGTAGGGACTGGTGTTTTTCTGGGCTGAAGCAGCTTCTTCATGTGGTTTGCTCAGGATGCTCTTTGTTCTTGGGATGGTCGTGCCTGCATGAGCGATCAATTTGCAGCTTCAGTGGCTCCCAACACACACGTAACTGTTCCCTGTAAAAGGACAGACTATTAAGGGCAACTGTGACTCTTGCTGGCGTGAGGGAGGGTCCAGGACGGGTTTGCATGCAGAAGCAGACTGGGTGGCACTCTGGAGCAAATTACGATTTCAGACTGTAGGGAGGAAGGTGCTCCCAGGCTACCACCTGCCCTGCTGCAGTCTACCTGGGGCAGTTTCTTCCCATTTTGAGGAGAAACAAGGGTTAGAAGGTGCTGCTGTTTATCCCTCTGGCTCTGTGCCCTCTCTAAAGCATCTCCTGGACTTAATGCCATCCAGAACCAGCAGTGGTGAACTGGAGGTGCCAGTGCTGGGTTATCCACTCTTCCCACGCACCTGGGCACCCCTTTCCTGGGATCCTATGCTCTTGGACCCATGTAGCTACAGGTATTCTTCGTTCAGAATCTCAGTTAGTGTATGTCTGAGAACAGTGGCTGGCCTGGCATGATTTTCCAGAGAGAAATCAAGACGAAAGAGAGGCAGTCATCTTGGGACTGAGGCTACAGCTCTCCCTTAGTACCTGTGTCTCTTAGCTGCTGAAGAGTCTTTTGGAATTTAGCCTGTCAGGTGGCGTCTCTTAGCGAGGCACCTGTTTCTTTATTGAAGAGAAAATCAGCAGTGAACGGTGTATCATCTACACATTGCAGTGACCGTGACTTGCGAAAATTTAAAACAGGCCAAGTCATAGGAGAGCACTTGTCCAAAAAGATGAGGACAGTCTCTTAACTCAGAGAAAGTCTGAACAAAAGGTAATTCTGACCATGTTTCCTTGCTCTTCGGAACAACCCCAGCTGCAAAATAGTATTGGAATCAATACTTTTCTTTGCATTCTATTTCAGCTCTAGTGGGTTAGGCAGGTGGTGCAGAAAAACATAAAACCACTCTTTCTCCATGCACAAGGATGGCACAGATTCCAGCATTTTATAATACTGTGGTAGTCTGAGTTTGCAAGGAAAACAATTTGTTAACAGGACGCATGATTTATGGAATTATTTTATAATAGTCAACCAAAGAGTCAAACACAAAAAGTGCAGGAAATCTGTCCACACACTAAAGACCCTCCAAAAGCCAGCTGAGGGCCAGGTTCTCATCACAGTGTCCTGTATGAGTCCAGATGAAGACCAAGGGCCCAAGACAAGGTCCCATGCAAGTCTGTGTTTAGAATCTGCACTGGGAAGGCCCAAAGGTCAGTGGTGGAAGCAGCAAGTCTGTACTAGAAGGATCTGTGCCAGAAGGCTGAGGGTTATGCACTGGGGTCAGTAAGCAATGATCAAATTCAGGACCAGAGCTCCCCTGAGAAGTACCATAGCCTTCCTCAATGACTATGAATGAGGTCCCATGCTCCTCTACCAATGAGGGCAACTGAGTCCTTATCAGAAGTCAGGATGGCAAGCTTTTCTTGGACACGGGGCAGCACCCTTGAGCTAGGGAGTGCAATGTAAGGACCAGAGCTCTTCCCCGCTTGAGTTAGGAAGTGCAAAGTAAGGACCAGCGCTCCTCTCCAAAGTAAACCACAGCCATTCTCAGTGAGGTTCAGAGCTCCTGGGGAGATGGGAACAGCCAAGTTCACATCAGGAAAGAAGCTGACAAGCTCCTACAGGAAAACCAACAACAACCAGGAGAACCATCGCCAATTCTCCTTCTTATGATGGCAATGATCCTCAGGGGGCCATCCACACCTAGCACCATGCTGGTTCAGTTCAGTTGGTTTACAAGTTGATCACCGATTATCAGTCTACCAGAAGCACATTCCAGAGGAGGAAGAGAATTCGACCTTCCTAAAAACAAGGAAAAATGCACATCCCTTTTAATCCCTATTTGGTTTTTGTCTGTTCCTGAACTGAACCACTCTAGAGCAGGTGACTGCTATCTGGAGAGTGTCCAGAAGCTAGGTCTGGGTGCACTGTCCATCTTGTATTATCTACCCAAACGCACTTGTGAATCTCAGAGCTTCAACCCTGTATTCATGATCCCGCAACCACAACTTAGACCTTAGCAGAAATACTTGCTTGGTTTGCAATGTAATGTAAATGATAAGAGCCAGCTGGGGCTGAGCTACGTGCCTGTAATCTCAGTCCTCGGGAGGCTGAGGCAGAAGGAGGATCACTGGATTTCGAGGCCAGCTTGGGTCACAAAATGAATTTGAGGCCAGCCTGAACTGCACAGTGAGACCCTGTTTCAAATAGACAAAGGAACAAAAGTACAAAAAGATCAGAGAAAAGAAAGCTTTTCTTCTCCTTTTCTCATTCTCGTGGTGAGTCTGCGACAACTTGACCCGTATTGTCACGCTCATCTTGGGAAGACAAGCATGGGGAACCTCAAGAGCCAAGATTGCTTCTGCACCAGCGGAAGATCAGACCAGAAAGGAAACAAAGACACACGTGCGCTGGATGCTCCCCTCAATGATCATGGGGGGCCGGATCGGGCCAGATGGTTTCCATGAATACTCTTGTGACCCAGATTTTAAATGGGCCACTGAGCTGTTGCAAACGACAGGCTGAGTGAGCTCCAAATTTATGAGGTATCTATATTTCACAAACTAGATTTTATTCAAGAAACCCACTTTACAGAATTTCATAAATTCACAATTTGGTTAGTATCAAAAGCCTCTAGGAGATGTTCTAACATGACTCTTTCCTGGGGTCCCTTTTCCAAGACAATAACCATCACAGGCAAAGAACAACCATCAATTCATTAGCTACCAAAACAGGAATATGGACCCGGCCAGTAAAAATAAAATGTCCCCCCGGAAAAACATCACAATCTCCCCACGCTCTCAATTGAAATTTACCATTGACAAAAAACGAGGCATAAAAAGACACACAAGAATGACATCTTCTGATTACCTAAGTGGGTCACAATCCAGAATCCGTGAAACCAAAGCGGATTCTTAATCCTCTTCCAATTATTTTGCATCGTGATGTGTGAGAAAAGAGATATTTGTGTTATCTTCCTAGATGCCTACAAATGATCCATGGGGGAAAATTCGAAAGTCCCAACCTGCTAGATAGCGGATACGCTGCGTTTGTGCTCGCCGCAGTCAAAGAATGAATTCTGTGGAACAAAGAAGCTTGAGAGCAGGGAAATCTATTGAGGACTAGGAATGGGGTACAGGCAAAGCTCGTGAGAGAGAAGAAGGGTTCTGAATGGGTTGTCTTGGGCTTCATCCTTTTGCATAGGGATGCCCAGTTTCTCAGCACTGTTTGTTGGAAACACTCTTTCCCACCTGTGGAAGACGCGTGCCTCTCTGATTGAAAGCATGCAGCAGAGGGCCTGGGACACGCTTCCTCAGGGGAGTCATCCTGATCCATCTAGAACCATCCAGGCCTCTGTTTCCTCTTGGCATTCACATTGATTTAGATGCAGTTCGATGGAAGGAAGGGGCCGGAGGAGGTGGCTCTTGCTGTGTGACAGTTACCACATGTTTGTGTGATCTTCAGGGATCCCCCTTATGGGATTCAGGATCTCTGGGAGGGAGAAGGGTGGCCTCCTGGCAGGGGTTTCATGAAGCACGGACACCAATATGGTCCAGGGGAGGAGCCCCGGGGGAGCCACAGCCTCAGTTCCACCTGTGTCAGCTTTAGGACCTCGCACAAAAGCTCGCTCCTGAGTGTCATGTGTCCCTCCATACTGGGCACAGTTTTTGCCCCGTGATGCTCAGCTCTGCAGAGCTGTGGGACCCAGAGACCAGCTTCAGGGATGTAGAGCAGCTGTACATGGTCCCCACTGGACAGGAGGTCATGAGGCCCTGCTCTCGCCCTGCCCCTCTCCACCTGGGAACAGTTTGGGAGAGAATGGAGCAGGATGAGGCAGTGTGGACAAGAAGAGCCTGCAGCTGTCCCTGTGTCCACTGTGCTAGCACCAGGGCAGCGGTGGCAGGCCTGTCCCTCTACCCTGGCACTGTCTCCTGGAAAAGTCCTCCTGGGCTTGCAGAAGCTCCTGGGGACAAAGCTGGGGTATCAGACAGTCTGTGGTGCTGGTCACCCTGCTGAGACCCAGGTTCCCATAGGAAGTGTCCCTCTGCCTCATGTGCTGAGAAATGTGGAAAAGGAGAAGAATTTGGGGTGTCATTAGGAAGGCTGGGGGCAGACACTGCTTGCAAAGACTCCTCCATCTCAGGGGCGGGTCTGATACCTGGAATCTGATACCCAGGTCTGATACCTAGGAGCCCAGTGGGGGAACCATTGGCCACACCTGGTCATGTCTGGACCTGGGGCTGTCTCTTAAATTTTCTGATGGCCGTGGAGCCAAGGTTCCCAACACCTATGGGGAGCTGAGTGCCTCACGTAAATTAAAGAAGTGGGAATCCAGAGAGCCTATGAATCGAGATGCCCAGGTGTCTTTCCAATCCAATTTTCTTTCTTCACCTACTGTGATCAGACACTGGGTGCTGACCAAGCATCCTTCATTCGGGGAGGCCCCTCTAACCGAACAGAAGGTCTAGAGGGCCAGCCTCTGCCCATAAATGGCCACCAGGATGACCCACTGGCTGGCAGTGTTGGGCTGGGAGGGGCTTATTAAGGATCGTGCAGGGGAAAAAAAGGAGGCAGAGGCTGTGCCCCCTTGAGGGGACACCATATCCCCTGACTGGTGTCTCTTTTGTTTTCAGGTCCGACTTCGTGGGTAACAACTGGTATCAGATTTACAGGTTTATGAACAATATGATGAGAAGGTTGACAGAGTACGCTTCCCCTCGCTGTGGGCTCCCTGTGCTCCCCACCCCCGTCAGACTCAGTGGGGTCCCTCGGATGGAGCACACAGCCCAGTGTGCCTGGGAGGAAAAGGGACAAGTGCACTGTCCCCTGGGTCTCAGCATGTGGTTGCCCTGCCTGGGAGCCTGGGCACCTGCAGGGACCCCACCTGCCCTCCAGGACTCCCTCACCCCGCTGGGGAGGAAGTCAGGACAGACGAGCAACTTTGCAACCTACACCTGGACATGGGGTGCTCAGGGACAGAGGACAGGGACAGCAAATGTGCAGGGAGGCTGGAGGGGAGGCCAGGACCCCTAGAAGGAGGGTATCCCGAGCAGCTTCCCAGGCTGAGGGGAGTGAACTTGACTTTGAAGGATGGAGAGGAGTTGGGGTCACAGCACCCCTCAGGGTGAGCTCGACAGGGTGGGGTGGCGTGTTCAGGCCAGGGAGTGAGGGAAACTCAGAAGAGGGCAGGAGACAAATCCTCACAGGTTGCTGGGACCAAGGCCTCAGGCTTCACTGTGCCAGGTGGGGGGATGGGCGGAGCCCTGTCCTGTGGGCCACAGGCAGCCCTGGAAGGTTCCTGGACAGGAGCCACGTGGTCAGGGCTGTGCTCCAGGAGGAAAACCCTGGCAGCTGTGGGTGAACGGAGCCGGGAGCCAGAGGGGGAGCAGCGGGCAGCTCAGCCAGGGAGGCTGCAGCCCATTGACCACGGGCAGCCAAGAGGTCCTGAATGGAGGGCGGGTGGTAGTCAGTGGTCAGTGGTCAGTGGTCAGCGACAGGAAGGGGAGGTGTGAATGGCGCCCAGAGGGGAGGGGTTTCCTGAGCTGGATTGAGGGAGGGAGGAGGAAATGGGGGAGAAGGGGAAAGAGCGAGGACAGAAAGAAGGGGACCGTAGGAGGCGGGCCAGGTGGAGGGAGGCCCCATGAGGAGCGTGCATTCATCTTGCCTATAAAGCATGCATGTGTGTGTGTGTGTGTGTGTGTGTGTGTGTGTGTGTGTGTGTGTCTGTACATGTGTGCATGCGGGGTGCTGAAGCACATGGACAGGGCCTGAAGCCACCCTGATTATCTCCCCTTTTTGGGATCATTCATCTCCATAGGCTTCTGAATCCTTCACTAAATTTATTCAGTTCCCCAGTGTCTCACGATGTACCCCAAAGTGAAGGTATAGGGGTGGCAAGACGGGGATTTGGCCCAGCCCCTTCCCAACGGCTGGGTGCCAGCGCGTCGGTGTACACGTGACTTCTCACAACCCCTGCTTCCCCCCAGTCCGAACCTGCGTGTGTCCTTCATCACCTACTCCTGCAAGGGCAACATCATCCTGCCGCTCACTTCAGACAGGTAGGTCGTCTTGGTCACCTGTGCATTGCTGGGATGAAAGAGACAATGCTCACAGTTTAAAGGAGCAACACACTGTTTTAGCTCGCAGTTTGTGGAGGTTTCAGTCTGTAGTTGGCTGGTTCCAAGGCAGGGGAGCCTAGCAGAGGGCCATCTCAGAGGACAAAGAGTCTCTGGCAGACCGGGAGCACCAAAGTGGCAGGTTCCCTTTCCCTCTTCATTACACCCAGGGCACAAGTCTATTGGTTGGTGCAACCCTCACTGAGTGTGGGGTTCTGTCTCTGGCAATCCATTTAGCCGCACCCAGAACTGTGCCAAAGCCATCTGGGGACTGACCCTGCACCACACCCATTACTTCCCACACCCCCGCCTATGAGCACCTGAGGCTTTGGGGGGACATCTGGATACAAGCCATTTAGAGAGGCTGACTTGAATCTCAGTGCAGGTTCGCTTTCCAGCTCACAGGGGCAGAAGGTTTTGCTAAGATTCCCAGGAGGCTCTCTCCAGGGCACAGGGTGGGCTAGAGGGGTACACTTCAGTGCCTCCACTGACCTCAGCTTGGCTCCCTGTCCCTGGAGTCTAAGCCTATGGAGCCAAGAGAGCTACTGTGACAACCCCAGCCTACAAGGAAGGAGCCTCGGGGAGCAGGTCTGTGGGTCCCATGGCTACCTCGGACAGAATGAAGCCTCTGAAGACAGGGCTTACTCTGCCCTGGCCAAGGCAGCAGGGACCAGGGGAAGCTTTGGGACACTGAGCAGGACACAGGGGTCCTCAGGCAGGTCCAAGACAGAGCATTTCCCAGGGTGCAGCTGAGGCCTAGCTGCTCTGAGTGTCACAGGGAAACCTAAGTCACAAGCATGCATGAGAAGGAGGCCCACCTATGCCCAGAGGCCAGGAGACCCCAAGTAGGGGTTAAGGGGAGGAGCTGACAGTCTGGGAGTGAGGGGTTATCTTGGCCACAATGCAGGGACCCTTGCAGAGAGGAGAAGCTCAGAGGAGAGGAAGGGGGACTCTTGGATTGTGGAGGAGCTGCTATGGGGGTCTGGAGAGAAGCCAGGGCGCAGTGAAGCAGAACAGGCCAGCTCCGAGGGTGGGAGGGTGGGAGGTTGGGGACTCCTGGGTCCGGGCAGAGGTTACCCCTGGGTCGAGCTGGCAGGAGAAGCAGGGAGGGGTTGGCTCCATGGGCACAGGGGAGGCCTGGGCTGCTGTGTGCTGTGCTGGGGGTCGGGAGAGACCTGTATGGACACGGGGTTGGAGACTGTGTTGGGGCGGTGGGCTAAGCTGGGCACAGGGCAGGAGCTGGGCTGGGCAGGACTGGCTGGGCCTCTCTGGAAAGGGCTGCCCATGGCTTCTCTTCCCAAGCAGGGCCAGGAGGGGCAGATCTTGGGCCCTCATAGCTCCATGGCAGGGTCTCTGCTCCAGGAGGAAGCTGCCCTTAGGGTCCCTGCTCTGGGCAGCCTTTCTGTGTGGATTTGGCCTGTCACAGTCCATCAGCCTGAGCCCAGCTCCGCTTCATGCCCCGGTGCTGCCACCAGAGCCACAGCCAGGGCTGCCTGCCCCAATCGGCGCTGTCTCTCTAACAGCCTCTGACAGCCCTGTTCCAGCAGCCTGGGCACAGGGCTTGACCGCCTCAGCAGCCTGAGGCCACGTCCCCTCCTCAGGCTTTCTGAATCAGGAGCCCTGAGGTCCTCGGCTTGTGCTGCTCAGAAAGCAGCCCAGCTCCTTCCCTTGGTGGCCAGAGCGGGCACAGGTCAGAGTCTGTGCTGTGGGGACAGCGCAGGGCACACTGAGCTGATAACCTGAGGGACCAGGCCTTCCCTGCTGGAGGACAGAGCCTCAGCCAGGGAGTCCTTGGCTTCTGGTCAGCACTGGGTATATGGGTGCTCCTGGAGCCCTGGACTCAAGCTGCACGGCCCTGGGTCCCACCTTCATCAGGAAATCCCTGGGGGACCCCTGAGGGTGGGGTACCTGAAAGCTACCCCTCCCTGTGGGACCTGCTGTTGGCCACTGAGCTAGAGGCCAGCAGAGAAGGCCATGAATCCCGCAATGATCCAGTGCAGAACAGGGTGAATGGATCAGTGGCCCAGTCCCTTGCTTCTGCACGGTCAGCGGACACAGCTGTAGTTGGTGGCCAGCCTTCCTTGTGTCATCCTCTTTTCCTACCTGTTTTTCAGACAAGAAATTCAGAGGGGCCTGGACAGACTACAGTACACTGTCCCTGCAGGTTCTCACTTCCTGGAGGAAGGAATCCACAAGGTGGGGATGGAAAGTCCAGGAGGGTCAGTGCTGGCCCCACTTCCTGCTGCTCTGCACCATCTCACTCCCCTCTCCAATGAATCTCATTTCCTCACAGGCGAATATGCAAATTCAAAATGTCAACTTCAAGTCCGGAGGAGGTGAGCACCTGCCTTCCCCCTCAGGGCAGCTGCTGGGAGCTGCCCACACTCCGAGAGTTCTGTGCTCAGACCCCATGGCTCTCCAGCCCAGCTGTGGGAGCCCAGTGCCCCCTGTCCCATCCCGGTCCTGGGCATGGACACAGTGCCCACCTCAGCATGGCTCTCATAGGACAGGAGGCTCCGTGGGTCCACCCAGGAGGCTTAGTTATTCTGGGCTGCTGGACCTGCACTGGGCTGTGTGTGCAGAAGGAGAAAGTCCAGGGCCTGAGCAGCCCGAGGATCAGCGTGAGGAGCACACGCTGTCGAGGGCACAGACCGTCTTCCCTTTCTCTGTCCCCATCTTTCGTTGCCCCCTGCACCTGGCCCTGCATCTCAGACCACACAAACAGCTGCGTGGCCCAGGATGGATGGTCCCAAAAGAGTCTGGGGGGGGGGACCCATTGAGGGGGTTTGAAATTGTCCAGGATCCTTCCTAGGAGTCCTGCACAGCTGGGATGCTGTTCTAAGTGGAAGTGCCCGCAGTGGGCACCAGTGCCGCTCCCTCCCCTGCTACTTCCTGTGCCCAGAAATAGACTGGGGCAGCTGGGCACGTGGCTGGGCCACCCTTAGCGGCGAGAGTGAGCAATCTGGGGCCAGTAAGGGTCCAGGCTGTCAGGTGGGGAGAAGAGGACCTGGGTGAGGTCCTCTTCTCTCTCTCTGGGGTCTCTGGCTGATGAGTGCTGGGATCTGGACACCTGTGCTCAGATCCCAAGATGTGGGGAGCACTGGCCCACCTGCCGTGGGCAGTGCTGTTCCCTGGCTGCCTGTGGTGCCTCTGGTCCTCTGCTGGTTGCTCCTGTATCCTTCACGGGGCCCTCCTCGTGTGTCCTGCAGCTTCCAAGCGTCCTGCTACGATCATCGCTATGGTGGGCAGTACTTTGAAGCAGGAAGTATTGAATGAGGCCAAAAAGCACGTGAGTCTGCCTGACTGGCAACTTGGTCTTTGGTGTGTTTTGGCAGTTTGGGCTTCACCCCTTTCTCCTCTTAGGCTGACAGGTCTCGGTCGTTGGGAGCAAACATCTACACTGTGGGTTTCGGTGGGGCTGACAGAAGTGAGGTAACTCAGCTGAGGTGACTGGGGGCCCTTCTGATTCTCCACCGTCTCTGAGGGCAAGGGCAGGATATGTCCTGGGTTGGGGGCCCAGGTGCTTCCTGGAGCCCTCGCCTGGGGTTCCAAGCCAGCACCTCTCTCTGTAGTTAATGCAACTCTCCGGCTTGCCAGAAAATGTGTTAGAGGTGCAGCATGGAGTCGAAGGTTTGCCCAACATTCTGGAACCGGTGAGCAACTTGTGTGAGCCGAGTGGGCTGGGTTTCCTTGGTGCCAGACACTCACCCTCTTCCTGCTTTGTCCTCTCTGTCCCAGCTGGCTCTCGAGGTCTGCCCTATCGTCCCCGAGGGCTTTACTCCCGTGTGTGTAGAAGGTAGGAGAACACAACTGCCACTACAGGCAGACAGATGTCTATGGTGTGTGTGTGTATGTGTGTGTGTGTGTGTGTGTGTGTGTGTGTGTGTGTGTGTATTGTGCATGGAGATAATTAGCTCTGTGACTGTGTATGTCACTGTCAGGGGTGGAGCTGGCATATGCTGAGGGGCTGGGGTTTGCACGTGTGCAATTAGGGCTCACTTATGTCATAACAAAAGCACAATTATGAAGATGGGGAAAGTCTACATTAGACATGCTGAAGGAAATGTAGGAACTGTAAGCAGCCCGACACAGACACAGAAACCAGGGCTCAGCCTGGGAAGAATGGTTCCATCTGGCATTAGAAATGTAAATAGTTGCCATGTCCTCAAATGGGAACAAACACAAGGTGGTCGCCTCCTGGGATGAGGCGCAAGTGTCACATAGATGTCCGGCACTATGGGAGAGAGAGAAGAAGCCTGTGCCCTAACCAGCACCCACATACACAGCCAGCATGTACCTCACCCTGTGGGGAAAAGGTAGCACCTGTCCCTGGAGCACCAGTCTATCCCAGGTCCCTGCTTCTGTGAGCTAAGGATGCTCCTGAGTGGCCCAGTAAGCGAGGCCACTTCTGTATGTCACAGGTGCAGTGTGTACAGCCATGGTCCTCCTGCAGCTGGCTTCTGACACCTTTATGGAGGGACCTAGGAAGGTCCCCTTCTCCCAAAGTTGGCACCTTGGCCACTGCAGCTTCGGGATCTGGCCTCCGTGCCCCTCATGGGAGGCACCATGGCTGCAGGTGTGGGCAGACAGAGCGTGCTCACTTCCAGGCTCTCCACCCATTGTCCTGGGGAGGGGAAGAAGATGCCAAACACCTGGGTGCCGTGCGGTGCCCGAGAAATAGCATTGTGGAGACGTTGGGGGATGGAGGGACAGAGACGGTGTAGCTTCAGGACGTGGGTAGGAACTGAGGACGACACCTGGTCCTGACCCCTCCACCTGGACCTCAGCTCTGCATCCCCGAGCCCTTCCAATGCTGGGCAGGGTGGGGGCCACAGTGCTGGGGTACAGGTGGTCAGGGACCCTGCCCTGGGTTGTCTCCTGCTTCTGATGTGAAGCAGCTCAGCTGTGCAGCCCACTCAGTCTGTGCACGTCCCTGATGTGTCCCCGACACACAGGCCTTGATGTCTGGGCAGCCAGACAAGCCCAGGTGAGGACAGCAGCTGTCACTGCTTCCTCCCAGCTGCAGAGCTGAGGTGACAGGTGCCTCTGGACACCAGCTCCGCTGCTGACCTGCTATACTGCTGGGTGTCCTGTGCAGAACTGCCTCACATAGTGACAGGGACTCGGGGGGAAGCCGAGGCAGGAGCCTGGGCCCAGGTGACACAGAACGGACAGGTTCCTTGGGTGGCATGTGGAGGGAGTCCATGTGCAAGGTCTGAAGGAGGGGCTGCTGCAGACTGGATCCTGGGCCAGCTGACCTGGGGCCACTCCAGGGCCATGGGGACAAGAAGCCAAGGAATTTGTCAGGCCGGGGACCTGGAAATAACAACAGGAAGATCACAGAAACCCAGCCTGGGTGCCGTGGGGCCACCCTGCTGTCCTCTCTTGTCCACTATGGCTTGTTCTGGGGACCATGGAAGGCCGCGCTGGTGGATTGAGGGGTTGGAAGGTTACAGGGCAGTGGCCTGTGGTCTTTGTGGAATGTAAAAGAGACTGGGCCATAGTGGGAAGTGTGGCCCTCTGTGAGAGACCCACCTAAGTGGGCCAGGGGCCTCCTGTGCCTTCATGTAGGCACTGTTCATAAATTCAGGGTGGGAGGCCCCAGCTGAGGCGGTCTCTGGAAGGTGGGCCTCAGTCCCAGTTCTATCGTCAGGGCTGGTGGGAGGAGGGCTCCGAGGTGTGCACGACTGGTCCTGTGGCACCTGTGTAGATCCTGGGCAACAGCAGATGTAGATTTGGTCCTGGGGACACACAGATTTTCAGATACAACTGCTGCCTCTTGGTGTCCCTTGGAATTGTCCACGGGGTAGCAGCTATGAGTCATGGGTCCAGAGGGACCACAGAGCCAGAACCCCTTGCTGATGTGTTGGAATGTGTCTTTGCAGGAAACTATACATATACCGCCACCCTGAACGAGGAATACCAAATAGGTCCTAAGGAGGAAATCCTCTGCAGATTCACGTTCAATAGCTCCAGCTGGGTGGGTAAGGAATCTCTGCGTGCTTCCGAGTCTCTCTCACCCTACTGCTCTGTGCTTTCCCCTTGCAGCTGAGCCTGTAGCCTTGGTCACTACTTCAGGGGGATGCAGATGCCCCAGCCTCACAGCATGGTGACCGAGCTAGAAAGAGGACCTGGGAAATGGGAGCATCCAGACTGAGCCTTCTGCCCAAGGAGATCATGGGGAAGATGGGGTCCTGCCTACCCCCAGGAAGGGGGCTTAGATGCTCCCCAAGGGGTCCTCCTTGGGTGCCACTTGGAGGTCACTTGCTTTTTGCCCAACAGAGATCAGGGACCAGAGTAGCTCATGGAGACCCATGCTACTGTCCTGGAGCCTCCCAGATGGCCACCCTGCAGTTGATGTGTGGCAGAGCAGGGAGTGACCACCATGGTAGTCTGCTGCAGCAGGGATTGATTTATTGGTTTGTAATTTCATTTTGGTCTGGAAAATACTGGGGTGCCACTACAGAAAATGGAAAGGAGAGGAGACCAGTGGAACAGTCAGTGTTTCAGGATGTTTCTAGCTTTGTCATGACAGTACTCTAGAGCAAGATGAAATGTTTCATGATGGCAACCAGAGTATTCAGTGTAATGACTTAGTCTTGGCTTGAAAGCTTCTCCCGTCAGTCAGGCTTTGCTGGGTCCTTTTTCCTCTCTGACCCAGGGTCTCTACCTCAGCAGGCAGGGGACACTTGGACCCTTCACCTCTTCACTCTGTGATGTCCGTGGCGCCTCTTTGGGGAGACCTTTCCAGAGCCACCCCAACAGAATTAGTCAGTTTTCCCATTGTTGGAACGCAGTATCCCACACACACAACTTAAAACTAAGAGAGGTTTAATTTGGCTCACAGTTGAAGGGATTCAGTCCATGGTGAGTTGGCTGACGGCAAAGCATCATGGTGCACGGGCATGGGAGGAGGGTGGCTCACCTCGTGGCAGCCAGAAAGCAGAGAGGAGAGAGGAGCCAGGGAAGGAGATGCTTCAGGAACCAGGGGATGAACTCACTGATGATTGATCCTTAACATCTGATCACTTTCTAAGAGCTCCAGCACTGAACTCATGAGACATTAGGGGGCCTTCTAGGTCTCATTATAACACTGACCACTCTGCTAACCCTACAAGCAAATCCTTCCCCAGGATTCCTCATCAGGTCTCATGATCAGCATCAGTGGAAATTACCTCACGTGTACAACAAAATCTTAATTGGAAGAGAACTTTAGACTTTGACTCGTAAGCCTTTATAATTTAAGAATTATAAATTAAATTGAACTATCTTTTATTTAAACAAATGATACATAGTACAAAACAGAGGCACACAGAAAAGATAAAAACCTTTCCCTTATCAAGCTATTATGGCTGATACACTGTGTCAACTTGAGAAATTTAGAAATTTAACTAAGACTCAGCAGAGAACCAGGGTCCTTACTTTGTAAACATCCTCATCCTATGCAAGATTTTGTGAGTGCTACACCTGCCCTGGAGAAGGGAGGTGGCCTTGTACAATATAAGGGAAGAGAAGAGGCTTGCTCTCCACCTTTTGCTCTGGATGCTTTTGCTGGCTGCCACCTGCAGGTGCTGGCCCGTGCCACGCCACCCTGCCCGAGAGCCAGCTGATTATGCACCGAAACCTCCACAAACCGTGAGCTAAATAAACCTTTCTTCATTTTGGGTTTTGGGTATTTTGTCCCAGCAATGAAAGAAAACTAAGACATAATTTAAAAGAGAAGTACTGTTAGCAGTACTTCTCAAATATACCATGAAAAGTTTAATTTTACGTGGACATGAATTTGAAAGACCCTGGAACGGAATGTGCAAACCACTGGGCAGCCACAGATGCTTCTTCTGCGACACTTCAGTGCCCAGCAGGAGCCGGCTGTGAGAAGGGACTTTAAAGACCCTGAGCAACCCAGTCAGGGATGGAATCATCCCCGCAGGCAGAAACAAACACAGAGGACAGGATCTCAGAGTCCTTCTGACTTCACAGGAGACAGCAGATGCTGGGAAGCTGGAGCCTGGGCACAGAGGGCTTCCTGCCAGGCAGCCAGGGTATGGCTCAGCTCCACTCTGGACCTGGGCTCCAGGGGTCTAGGGAGAATTTGGGCTCAGGAATGGAAAGATTCATTGCTACGCCTTAGGGAACTCTGCTGAGGTTCCCAAGCTCTTTGAGAAATTGAGGAAAGGGATGGGAGGAAGGGTGTAAGGAATGAAAGAAGGAAGGAAGGAGAGAGGAAAACAGGGAAGCCACCTGAGGCCCACATCCCCTCCACAGGCTGCCCTGCTCAGTGACGCCCCCTACTGGTCCCTGTGGTCAAATCCCCAGTCAGCCTGGATCCTCCCAGCTCACCCCACAGGCAGCTGCCAGCCAGTCCCATGACACCGACGTCCACATGGTGTCCAGTATCTGCCCTCAAAGATCCTCTGCACCAGGAGGAAAACCCAGTCCTCCCCTCACCACCCGCCTCCTGGTTCCCGCCCTTCCTTCCTCTACAAGCCCCTCTGTTCCTGCCCCAGGGCCTTGGCACTGACCACTCACACAGCCCAGATCCTGCTCCCTCGCATGGCCCCTGGCTGCTGCTGCTCTGGTGGGGCTCAGCTGAAACCCTGCTGCTCCAGGAGCCCTGACTTAACGGAGCTGGCCCCCAAGTGCAAGGGGAGCAGGACTCCCGTGGGGACTTAGGCTCCCAAGTCCTGCTCTTAGGGTTCCCATTCCCCACAGTGCCTGTGCAGTCTGGTTCCAGGCCTGGCACCTTTCTCAGTGCCCCAGTATTTCAGCATCTCCCGAAGAGCAGCCCCAGCTCCCATGGGTGGCACAGGTGGCCCGGCTCAGCACCAGCCTCCCACCTCCCCGCCCTCCCTCTGCCCCTGCCTCTGGTGCTGCTCCTGCTCAGCCTTTTGCTCTGGGTCCCTTGGTCCCTGGCACTGGGGACCAGAGCTCAGAGCCTCTCTGCCTCTCCCTGCCGTGCACCAGTGCTGTTCGGAGCCCAGCAGAGCAGGAGCTGAGCAGGGTCTTGGAAAGCAAGGCGGACAGCAGATGCTGGCCATAGGCCCTGCATGGGCTCTGCTGGCCCAGGGCAGGTAGAGGGGACAGGACAGGATATGTGCACAGATGCCCAGGTACCATTCTTTTCAGAGCATAACCCCAGCAAAGTGGAAGGCTTTGCCATACGGTGTCCACTACCGAAGACAGACAGGGCTGGGAGGTGAGTGCCCGCGGTTCTGGGTCCTGGGACAGTGTGGCCTGTGTTTGTCACCCTCTCATGTCCTGACTCTGGGTGTCTCCATCCAGGCAGCACAGGTCTGCCTGCTCCGGGCTGGGGCGCCCTCCCCACCTGCCCCCGTGGTGACCTCCAAGGTGCCGGGGACACACAGAGGCCCGGGCACTGCTGAGGGTGGATATGGGTGAGGCTGGGCCGGGAGCCTTTCCTCTGGGTCCCCTTGCTGGCTGGGATCACCTGGTGAGTGACAAAAGCAAGGACAGTGACGCCCTGCAGACCTCTCTGCCATTCAGCTGTGGCCAGGATGGGCCACGGGGGCCGCTCACTGTCCGAGCCGCACCCCTGCGAGCTGACCTTGCAGTGGTTTGGGGCAGCAACTCTTATGACCCATGTGGCTTCCCTCAGATCACCCTGAACGTGGGGCTTTCAGAGTCATGGCCATGATCAGAGCTGCAGGGTCCCTTCCAAGTCTAGGGCCTGGTCCAGGGCTGCCAGATGGATCCCAGCTCCTGCCCTTTCTCTGTATCAGAAAGTACTTTGTGTCAGTCAGCCTGGACAGAGGGGTGACTTTCTTGGACCTCAGGTTTGACATCATCAGCATCGATTGTGTGAGTCCTGGGGGTTGGGGGGCTACTGGAGCACTCTCCAGAGTATGGGAGCCATGTACTGGGCACATGTACATCTGGGGGTTCTGTGCAGCCCAGAGAGCAGCTGTGTAGACAAGTCCTGGTTCCATCTCAGCTCCCCGGGACCAGTAGGGGGCCAGAAGCTTCAGTTTTTGGTCTGTCCAGGGCTCTAGGGCTCTGGTTTCTGCTCATGAGCAACTCTGCACAGCCATGCACAGGTCTGGGAGAGGGTGCAGAAGCCAACCAGGGCTCGGCCAGCTGGGGGCCACCACTGTCCCCACCCCGCTGCGCATGCTTTCAGCCCAGTCCCCTTGCAGTCTCTCTGACCCAGCATTGTAGCTCGGGGGAGGCCAGGCAGGCAGCCAGTGTCCCTTCACTGTGACAGCCCCCATTCCTTCATCCATGTACACGGGCCTGAGCTGGGTGCCCCAAACCCTCTGAGCCCTGAGTGCCTGGCAGAAGGGGGGTCCCTACCCTGTGTGAAGGGACCCACTGAGGCTCAGGGTGGGATGAGCCCAGGACACAGAACCGGGAGCGGGGCAGTGAGGCCTGGGGGAACCTGCGTCTCCCGTCTTCCCTGGGGTCCCCAACAACCTCGCCTCTCCCACGTAGCTTTCTGGGTCCTCAGGACACGCTGTGCTGAGTCTGAGGCCAGCAGTGAAAGCCGGGGTGACTCGTCCTGGCTGAGCCCAGAGGCCTGAGCGGGGCGAGGTGTGGCCTGCAGCCCAGGGACCAGCCCTGGTCCCTGCCCCACTGGGTCCCTCACACTGCAAAACTGCAAAGGACAGCGTGGGTGGATGGAAATCTGCAAGGTAGACACTGAGAGACAGGCCCTGTGGGACCTGAGGCCTGGCTATCAGTCCCTGACTCAGCTGGCATGCACCTCCCTCCCCATAAAAGCCCAAGAGCACAGCTCCGCCCCCGACCACAACTCCGCGAACCACAACTACAACAACCACTACCCGACCCCCACCCCCACCTCCGCCCCCGCCTCCTCCCCCACCCCCACCCCCACCTCCACCCCCTCCCCCTGAGGTGATGAGCAACTTGTTCCTGGTCCCCCTTGGACTGTTCCTGTTGCTGGCACTGCTGCTTCTGTGTTGTCTCCACCAGCTTTGCCGTCCTAAGGTCAGTGTCCCCTGCTGCCCCTGCCCTGGGGCTGAGGTCATGCCCTCCCGCCAAGGGACAGGGACATGATCCAGCTATAGGTCATTGTCATCTGCTCCAAAGTCATCCTGTGTATCAGGGTCACAACCCTACATCTAGCCAGCCACCCCAGGTCCTCTCACTGGGATCTCTGCAGGTCCTAGGAGGATGTGTTCCCAGGAGTCTCTGTGCAGAAAAAGGGATGGGTCCCCATGAAGCACTGATGGCCCCTATGCAGGGCAGTGCTGACCAGGGAGGCGAGGTCCGGGGTGGCTGTGCCATCAAACCCACAGGGACCTGTCCACACCGTCCACACCACGGAGTGCACAGCCATGCTGGGCCAGCGGGAGAGGAAGGGCGGCTGCCATCCTCCCCCGAGAGCTCAGAGCCGCATCTGCTCAGGCATGGCCAGGGACATGGCAGGGGCCCTGGGCACAGCAGAGCCGAAGCACTGGGCAATGAGCAGAAGGAAGGAGCACCTAGAGCGGGAGGAGAGAGGACAGCAGGCTTAGAGGGGTGCAGACCAAGAGCAGGTGCCCAGCTCTGCCTAGGGTAACGGCCGGCAGGGACAGCATCGAGGGCAGGGGAAGCCAGGCCCCCAGAGGATGAGGGGACAGGAGTGTCCTGCAGTGCAGGGGGGTTGGCAGGCGACAGTAGCTTGGCCCAGCTCAGCAGCGTCCCCGAGGGAGGGCGTTTGGGTCAGGTGGGCTGTTGGACACAGTGGCACAGGGACAGGGTAGCCAATGGACATCCCGAGGCCGTGTCCTGCTGGTGCTCTAGACCAGGGTCCCCTGGGCTACAGGGCCCAGGCAGAGCCTGCCCCAGCACCCCCTGCTGTGTCTGTCTTCCATTCCAGCGAAGAAAGCCGCCACCACCTCCTCCGCCTGAGCCTGAAGTAAGTGGATGTCTGGGCCCTGGCACAGTCACACACCCAGGACTGTGCTGTCCTTCCAGAGGGGCACTGTAAAGCCCTGTGCTTAGGGTGCCACATTCACCTGAGCAAAGAAGGGGGCAGAGGGCCAGGAGGACAGGGCAGGGGACTCCGTGACGTCCCCGGGCAGCAGCCGCGGCTCCATGTCCTGCTGCCCTAGTCTTTGTCACAGACCCAGCACGTTGGGGCCTGTTCTGGTAGTCTCCATCCCTGCTGACCTGCCTGGCTGTGTGAGCCCAAAGGCGCTTCTGGGATCGAAGCGCTCAGGGCTTTGGGAAGGGCGTGCTGGCCCTGTGTGCGTCCTGGATGCCTGCTGGGCGCCTTTGGATTCATCTTCATGCCCACCTCCTGCAGGGCAGGGCTGGCTGGGTGCAGCCTGAGGGTTTGGCAGGGCTGAGGATGGAGGTGTCTGGGGGCTGGGCTGTGAGGGCACCCCCAGGGGAGTACAGGGATGGGGTGGGGGGCAGCCTGAGGCTCAGCTGGGCTGGACCAGAAGTGCTGAGTGCCTGGGCCAGGGGACCAGCTGGGGGTGCTGGGAAGCAGGGTGCTGCCTGGGACCTGTGCTGTCTGCACCATGGCCTGAGGAGGTGGCATCTGCCGGGACAGTCAGTGGCCAGTGCCCTGATCCCTGCAGACCCAGCCAGGCTTCTGCTAGCCAGGGCAGCCTCAGGAGACTAAGGCTCCACCATAGGCTAAGGGACTTTGACTGTCCTACACAGGGCCCTCCCCTCACTGGGGTGCTGCTCACTGTCCTTTGGGTCACCCACAACCTTAGCTGACCCCACATGCAGGTGCCAGGACAAAGACCTGATGTCCCTGCTCTCAAGAGGCTACAAACTGGGTTTTTTCACTTCTAGGAACCAGAAGAGGAGCCCCTTCTGCCTCCACAGCCTCTGCCCCCTCCTCCAGCACCGCCCGTCACTGTGTGCCCCGTTATAATCGTGTGCTGCTGTGCGTGCGGCGGCGTGTGTGTGAACAGAGGCCCGGAGGTGAGGGGCTGGGCCTGTGACCCTGGCTGGGGCTCTGGGGAACAGGGGATCTGGAGACCACCAGGGCTGGGGAGATCTCCTAGTGCTGAGGACAGCTAGAGACCCTGGTCTTGACCAGGGAGGGGGGCACCCAGTGGGGCTCTCCCTCCCTCTGACTGGCCTGTCCCAGCCCAGGGATCTGTGGCTTCCTCCTGGGAGTGCCATGCCTCTGTTCCCACCACCCTGCCCTGTGAAGAGGAGGCTGCCACTGCCAGTAGAAAGGTCTGGCCGATGGACGGCCCCACCCACGTGGCCCAGAGGGGCAGGACCGCATGTGGTCGGAGCTGCCTGAAGCTTCAGTCCGAACCTGCAGGAGGCCATGTCCCTGCCGTCCCTGCCATGCTCTTCCTCACGTCCTGTTTGCTTTTCAGGGCACCTTGATCTCATGCAACTTCAGTCACCCCAGCTGCCACCAGGTGCCACTGACATGGTCTCCATCCTGTGCCCAGGTGAGCAGGACACTGGGGCCCTCTGGGCGAGCGCGGCTCTTCTGAAGCCTTGCTTGTAAGGATTGTCCCTGTGTCCCCAGCAGCTGCACAGTAGCTGCTGGTTTATTCCTAGTTTACACTGGGGCAGCAGCCCTCAGAGTTTGTGTGATTTGTTCATAAAGCCTAGGACACACAGAGCGGGGATTAGATCCGGGCCTGGCTCCCTCTTTGTGTCCCCACTGACTCAGCCTTGGGACACGTACTGGTCACCCCCAAGTCCTTGCCAGGCTGCTCTGCTCAGGCCAGGTCCCTGACACCCTCTTGCTGCATCCCAGGCTCCTGTGCCTGGGCCCCCACACCCAGTCCCCTGCACAGGCCGCCATGGGAGGAGGGCGGGCAGTGCCCAGGCCCGCAGCAGGCCGCACTGAGCTTGGTCCCGGGACCAGGGCAGCACAGGGCCTGGGAGTTCGCTGAGCAGCAGGTGCTCAGAGGAAGGACAGGGTGAGTGGGGGCCCTTCAGAGCCTGTCCTGGGCCTGAGGAGAGGTGGGCATAGGACAGTGCTACCCCTTAGGGGCAGGCCTGTGGGCATTTTGGTGGGCTTCTCTTGGAGCTGAGGCTTGGAAGGGAAGGGTGCCACAGGGCGAATGAGGGCCCTGTGAGAGAAAGAGAGAGAGAGAGAGAGAGAGAGAGAGAGAGAGAGAGAGAGAGAGAGAGAGACTGTCCCTGGGTCAGTGCTGGAGAAGGGCACCCTGCCTTTGTGGCTTTTGTGACCTGAGCATTCCTCCAGATCCAGCATGGAGGATGCTGCCTGGCAGAGGCAGGGCAGCACTGAGGCCATCTGGGAGGAGGGGAGACGTGGGCCCAGGGTGGCGAGGCTGGGCAGTTCCTCCCTCCCAGCTAGCAGGAGGGAGGTGTGTTTGTCAGCAGGTGAGGGCCTCTGTCCGGTTCTGGCTGGAGGGAGGTTGCAGGAGAGCTCGGTGGGCAGGTGTGGGCTGTGAGCAGGGCAAGAGGACTGGAATCCGGGGTGGGTGGAGCCTTGGAGTCCCCAGCCAGTACCTGGGAGTGGCCAGAGAGGGAAGCTGTCTTCTGAGGGCCCAGAGTGGGTGACCCAGACCCAGGAGGCTGAGTCAGGACAAGGTCGGAGGAAGCACAGAGGGGAGCCAGCTGGAGAGGGGCAGAAAGACAACAGGGTGCTGAGGGGAAGGGGCATCTCAGCGGGTGTCTCCCAGGCTGGGGCCCAGCAGGGGCCAGCAGCTTCCAGACGGACTGGGGGGAGGCGGGGCCTGGAGGCCCAGAGGCCAACGACACCCCAGCAGTGCTCACTTTGGAAGTCACAGCTCTGTCCCGGGCACAGTGAGGATGCTGTTCGTTTGTACGCAGGTCTCAGCCTTGAGTGTCATCTGGCCGCTCTCCTACCTAGGCGGAGGGAGCCCAGAGATGACACTGTCTCTGCCCTTTTCTGGGCAGTGTGTCCAGAGTACAAATGACATTATAAGGGAAGCTTTCTTTGGGAAGACAGCAGCCATTCGAATCCCCGAGGACGGCTTCCCCGGGACGCTAACACCCCTCCTTTGGTAGACCACACTCTCCAAGCGCTTTTATGTTAACAGAATGGTTGCAGGGCTCCTATGGATACATCTAGATTCCAAGGAAAAAAGGACGAACAAGGTACGGGGTGCTTTCTGCAAAGCACAGCCCTGTCCCGTCTGCAGCATTGATGCTGATCTCGGCTCAGCAAGAGAGAGTGGGCAGGTCATGTCACAGCAGAGCACCTTGCCGGTCCTAACACAGTCACTCTGCTGTCATTCAGTGGGAATGGGCACAGGGTCACTGCGCAGCACTGGGACCGCTGCCCCCGATTTAGAGACAGGAAAACCACTTCCCTGATGCTGAGTGGCTCAGGAAGTCCCCACCAGATGTGGACCACAGCTCCGTGGGCTTAATTCAGTGAGGGACACTCAGGGCTTTTCTAAGAGGACCTGATCGGCCCTTCAGATGGACTTCTCCCTGATGCCCTGGGCACGCAGGACTAGCAGAGGCACCGACACCAGCACAGGGACCGGGCAGAGTGGGTGGGGCCCAGCAGGGGTGACCTGCAGCTCCTCTGTTGGAATAAAAGAATCCCCTGAGTATGCTCTGGGGAAACAGCTCGGGCTTCGGGGGGCCTGGCTGTGGTTCCAGTTGTGACCACAGCACAGAACCCAGCCCGGAGGCCACCCCGGGAGCCCTCGGCCCTCAGCCTCTGCACCTGTATGTTGCAAAGGGGTTTTCTAAGCAGAATTCAAGTTTTCCCTGGGCTGTTTTGGGTACATCTGTTTCCTTGCCCTTTCTAGCTTTTAGAGACCCAGCAGTGCAGGCTCAGGGACTCTCTGCCAGCTACAAATCCCACAGGGCAGCACCTGCCGCAAAGGTCTCCTGGCTTCTTCCCTAAGTGTGCTCTCCTCCCGCACCCTCTGCTGTCTCCCCTGTGACCTGTGGGCTTGCACAATGTCCACCTGGCACATGCCCAAGTCCATAAGCATAGCCTTGAAGTCCTTTCCACAGGGTAGGGCGCAAAGCCACAGTTCCAAGGGTGTGGACATGAACCCCTGTGAGACCCACTCCTCAGCCCCAGCCTGGCTGTTTTCATATGCCTTCACTGGTTCTGGGAGCAGTGGTGGCTGCAGGGCAGCACTAGGGCAGAGCCTCACCCAGGCCCTGCTGCCAGCCAGCCACCCGCAGCCTCTGCTCAGGTCCAGGGCACTTGGCCACTTCCTGCCTCTGTCCTCCCTCCAGGGCACCAACTTTGACTTCCTGAAGATGCTCTGTGCCGAGGGATCCTGGGACCCCAGGATCGGCCTTCAGCCCAACCAGGACGATCTCCCCCTGGCCTACTGCTCCCAGTGCCACCACCAAGCAGTCCAGAGCGACCGGCTCCCCTCCAGGATGCTCCCCCGCTCTGCCCAGATGGCCTGCAGACCAACGCTGTCTCTCTCAGCCCCATAGCCGCCCCCAGGCCCTGTGTGTGTGGACGAGAGGTCTTGCTGCTGAACTGGACGCAGGCGTGCAGCCGTGGATTCTAATAAATCAGAGTTGGATTTTGTTGCTGAGCAACACGGGCCTGTCGCCGGGAGATTGCCCTCCCCACCCCCGTCTGAGAGGTGATTATTCTGCACCCCCAGGTCGCACACCCTGCTGCCCTGTGGTTGCTGGGCACGGGGACCCCATTGCCAGTAGTCTGTCTTCACGCATCACTGAGGGCTGGGAAACACAGGTGCTAATATCAAGTGTCTATCAAAAAGGAAAAAGCTCCCAAGTTGTTGGAATACAGACATGATCCTGTGTCTCCTTCCCTAAGTGTCTGTAAGAGAAGTGTGTAAATGTCTTCCTTGGTCTTCATTTTTGGCTACCAAATCCTGAATGCATTCAGAAGGGGTGAGCCCTTTCTGGAAGAGAGATGGCTCTTTCCAGAGACTCTGCACTGTCCCAAGCCTGGGGGATTTCAGAAGGTCCCCTGCATTTCTCCAGAGCAGGCAAACCCTCCTGAGGCTTCCTCGCCAGAGAAGAAAGCAGAATCCTGACAGCGGTGTACAGCCCACAGCATCATACTGCCCAGCACACACACTGCTATCCACCTGACCACCCAGGAGCAGGGCACACAGGCAAGGGAACCCAATAAGAGGATCCAAGGACCTCAGGCGGTTCCCCAGGGGCCAGGGCCAGGCTGCCTAGTCATCCCTAATCCATCCTGAGCACCTCCCATCTGCCCCCCAGCTACCTCCAGCTTACAGGTGAATTTCTGTGCAGTTTGCACATGCAGAGAAAGGCCAGGCTTTGTACTTGACTCAGTGTGGGTTTAACACGATGGGCAGCGATGACCGCACTGTCCCCACGTTTGCAAACTGACTGGGCTGGCTGGAGAGACTTGTGTCACACATGGAGGGTCGTTTTCTCTGGGTCCCTTTCCAATCTTTCATTCATTCTGGGAATCGCTGTTTCTCCCCCTTCTCCAGCTTCTCTGTCCTGCGCCATCCAGAGCTGCCACAGTCTGGTTCCCATGCCTGGGTCCCGCCTGCTGCCAGGATAGGAGCTAGGTGTCTCCCACCCTTCCTGGCCTCTGCCCTCCGGCAGCACATCTGTCTCTCCCTGCACTCCAGAGAAACAGAGTCACAGCGTGGGGATTGGAGGAGGGGCTGTGACCTGGGGCAGGACAAGCTGGTCTGATCTGGTCCCCTAAGAGACTTGGCCCCAGAGCAACCGTGGGATTTTCGGAGAACAAGCAGCCCCTCCACAGGGCACAGCCTGACAGGCACACTGGGTTGCAAGGCTTACCTTGGATAATTTTCTTTTTCTGGTTTTTACCTTTTAAAAAAGTCTTTGTTTTGCACTCAGAGAAGCCCTGGGCTCCTGAGTATCTAGATTGGGGAGGCCTCAGTACTGCAGGAGGAGGGCTGGGGACCAGCAAGGGTGTCCCCCTGTTGAGACACCAGGCTCCTCTTGGGTACTCCGGCCCAGCCAGCAAGAGGGGCTGAGATGGAACCTGGTCACCTTCCCAAGACCAAGACCCACCTGCCTCCTTCCTTGACAGGCAGCAGGTGCTCCAGGACAGCCCAGCTTCCTCAGGGCCATGCAGAGCCCCCATCGGCTCTGAGGGTGCAGGGACTGTGCCAGGTCTGCAGGGTGACAGGAAAAATGGCCTAGAGCAAAGGGCACTGAGCAAGGTCCTGGCCGAGCGCTCCCCCGGAGGCCACAGGTGGTGTCTCCCCAGAGAACCATGCTGGGGCTTCTCCCAGGGCTGGGAGGAGGCTCCTGGGGGCCAGTGACTGAGGGACCCTCAGGACCTCACTACAGAGACAGAGCCAGCCGGAGCCCCTGTGGTAACAGCTGCCATTTCAGGAGACAAGGAAGGCGCTGAGGCTGTGCAGGGGGCTGAGCACCGCAGGGGCTGCTGGTCCTCTTGCAGTCACAGGGATGCTCCCAGAGGCCCCATCCTGCCGCAGTGACTGTGTCTTCCTGGGGTTGGGGTTAGGTGGAGGCGGGAAGGGAGGGCAGCTGGTCCAGGGTGAGGTAGCTGTAGGAGAGGCCGGACTCCTGGCCTGCCTTCCTCTTGTGACAGCTGTGTGCTGGGACCCAGGGTTGGACCCTTCCTGAGCCCAAGCCAAGTCCTTAGGGGTCATCGATCTCTACTGCGTTTCAAACTACATCAATCTCTGCGGTTCTTCTTTAACAGTTTCTCCCTTTCACTGTCTTTGAGTTCATTTTGCTGTTCATTTTCTATTATTTTTAGTTATAATTTAAATTTATTTTACCTCTTCTATAACATAAGCTTTTGGGTCACTAGTTTCCTGCTAAGTTTCTCTTTTACTGGGCCATATACATTTTCAGATGTATTATTTTATTATCCCTGGTTTTTCTTACTTTAATTTCAGTGATTGATAATTTATATATAATTTAAAATATTCAATCATCGACTTTCAGAACAATCACAGACCTTCAAGGTAACCGGATTCTGACAGGAAGAGGTGGCCAGAGGGGTTTTATTTTGGGGGGCTGGGATCTAGCTCAGTGGCACAGAACTTGGCTGGCCACATCGGGTTCCCAGCATTGTCAAAGATGTTTTTTAACAAGGGACAATAGTCCCTCACAGTTTACTGTTCGTCATGATTTGTTCTAGTGGAATTCTTGAGGGATAATTCTTTATAAGCCCAACTGCAGGAATTAGATGTCCTTAAATCGTTGTAAGTTTTTAGGAGAATTTTAGGTACTTCACACACACACACACACACACACACACACACACGTTTTAATTTCTTGGTATAGTAGAAATGTGGCAATTTCTCCTTGCAGTGAACTGTTTTCATTTGCTCAGGAGCATGCCCCTGCAGAATTTCTGCTTCGTGTTCATGAAGCCTTAGTACTAAGAGCTTCTCTGTTCACTCCTCGGCAGTGCCCCTACCTGGAAGGGTACCAATTTTCTTTTCTGGGGCTTGGCATCTCTGCTCCAGCATCCCCGTCCTTTTCTGTGAACTTTTTCATGTCTCTGAGTCTGGGGCTTTTCTTTTTAAGAGCATTTGGCTGGCTTTTTGGCTTACATGACAAACGCTGACTTTTACTTGGTAAGTTATCCCCCTGTGCAACACGGACACTATGGAGAATTGGGGTGCGCCCTGGGGTCCCCCCATGCCTGCCCTCCACCCCCACATTCCCACCACATGGTGGCCTCCTAAGCTGCTGCTGGTGTGGGTGGGCCGGCAGGATCCCGCCCCCACTCCAGCCCCACCCTCTCAGCTCCTTTTATGGTTCTTTTCACCAAGTCGCTGTAATGGTAACTTTGGGTTTTGCGTGTCTGGAAATACCTTCACTGGGGCCTCCCTCCTGGCAAACACTGTCCTGAGATCTGGATCTGCAAACAGACACATTTCTGCAAGGCTCCACCCAGACACCACGTTTCGGTGCTCAGGAGAGCTCTCCTGTTGGTCTCACTGACATACAAAAGACTCTTCCTGAGTCTTTTGTATTTTGGGTGTAGTGATTTTTTAAATTTCTCTGTTCCTGCCTCAAATCCCAGCAGTCCGGGGGGAGGCTGAGGCAGGTTAATGGTCTCCATCAGTTCCACTCAGCCTGAGCAAGTTCGTGGTTTATCAAGGTCCTGTCTCAAAAAACAAAAAACCAAACAAACAAAAACAAACAAATCAGGGAATGTAGGCCAGTGCAAAAGTCCTGGATCTGATCCCTGTACACCAGTAAATAAATAAACTGACATTTCTCTGTCCTTGATGTTTGTAGTGTCGCTGAGGCCTGCAGTGCCTGGCATTAGATAGCTCATTTCTACACGCATCGGTCTTTCCTAAAAGACGAGGCCCTGTTTGCCTGACGGCTCCCCACCCCGGTTCCGTGAGAGCTGAATGCCGCTTCCCCTCCTCCGAGGTATCTTTGCCCTGTACTGCCTCATCTTTGCAACCAATCCTTCCAAATCCTGGGGAAAGTTCTGATCTGCACTGCCCCCAGCAGGTCATTCAATGTGCAGACCATTGGACAAACGGATCAATGGACATACGGTCGGAGAGCCTGATGAGAGGGTGGGTAGAGACACCAGGATTGTCGGACAGAAGGGTGGGTGGAAGGAGTGGGGTGGGGACTCAGGATGTTTCCTGTCGGGTCCGCAAGGCCTCTCCTTGGTTCACTTTAAGCAGCTCCGCACCCCAGGCTCACACACCGGCCCACCACACTGGCTGCACTGGCCCAGCGTCCCAGGTACTCAAGCCCTGGCGCCCCGGCCCCCTTCACAGCCATTTTTTCCAGAGTGCATTCCACCCTTCCGTGACCATCCCTCCAGGGGACAGTTGCAAGTCGTCTACGTCTTTAGATTCTGGGTCACCAACCTCCCCAGAGCCTGGCACACTGCTGCCACTGGGGGGAGGGGCGAGGAGCAGCGGGGCGGCTGGGGAAGACTGGGCTGCAATCAGGGCGCCTGACTGTGGAGGGGTTGAGGTCCCCAGGGCGCGGGGCACACTACCCGCCCGCAGCGTCGCTGTCACTCTGGGCTCAGGGCGCACAGGATGAGAGTGCGAGTCTCTGCAAGCGTCGAACCGAGCCCGGGGTGGCGGGGCTCAGCTGCCCCGCTGGAGCCCAGCACCACCAGCCCAGCCGGGGACAGGGGCCGGATTCCCGAGTGGGATCCGCTCCTCCGGAGGCGTCCCCAGCTCACAACCCCGTTGGCAGATCCCGCCCTCCCGAGCGCCGCCCCCCGGAGGGCCCGGGGCGGGGAGCCCCGGGTGGGGGACGCCGAGGTCCCGCCTCAGAGGCGGGAGCAGCCCGCCAGGCGGAGCCTGGCTCCCGGCCGGGCTCGGAGCTGCAGCCTGCACCCCGCGCCTCCGCCGCAGCCGCGGAGCAGGTGAGACGCGCGCCCCGCGGGCTCCCCGCGCCGGCCTCCTGCGAGGCTCCCGGTCTCTCCAGTGGCGCCCCGCGCCTCCCTCGCGCTTAGCTCTTCCTTGCGTCTCCTTGCGTCTCCTCGCCCTCTGGTTCCTTGCCCGATTTTCTCTTCTCCCGCCCTCCTGCTCGCCCTTCTCGTCCCTCGCGTGCTCTCCCCGATTCTTTGCTGCGCGAGGAAATTCTGCCTTGGTTTCTCCCCCAGGCTGACTTTGTGCGCCCACTCCCTCCCCTCCCCACCCCACCCCACGTCGTCCGCGACCTTGTCCTGGCTCCAGCCGGCCTCGCACGCGAGCCTGAGTTGCCCAGCCCCGCGTCCCCCAGGCCTCCGAGTCCCCAGAG